GAGTCAGGACTTGTCCAATTGGGATTATACTGAGCAGTACATGTTGGGAAACAGAGCACTGCACAGCAGGAACCCACAAATAGGTTCCCAAGAGCCAGCCAAAGTCCAAGGGACAGCCCCTGTTACCATTGTTAGGAGTTTCACAAGTAGACCAAGCTACATAGCTGTCAGATATATGTAGAGGGCCTAGTCAGTCTCATGTAGGCTCTCTGGTTGTTGGTTCAGACTGAGTTCATATGATCCAGGTTAGTTGTTTTCTGTTATCTTGGGATGTTCTTGACCCCACTGAACCCACAATCTTTCCTCCCTGTCTTCAGCAGAATTCCCTGAACCCAAAGAGGATTAATGTTTTGTTGTGGGTCTCTGCATCTATTTCCATCAGTTACTGGATATAGACTCTCTGATGACAATTGAGGTAGTCAACAGTCTGATCACAGGAGATGGCCAGTTCAGGCTGTGTATCCGATATTTACTAGACATCATAGTTGGGTTCATCCTCATAGATTTTGGGGAGTTCCCCTTGCATCATGTTCTACCTGGCCCCATTATGCTCCCCTGTTCCAGTCATCTCTTTCAGTAGAGTGCCCCTTCATGTACCTCCCAACTCAAACCCTTATGCTCCCATCCTCACCTGACCCCAGTTCACACAGGAGATCTCTTTTTTTCCCTTTCCCAGGGAGATCCATGCATCTGCCATTGGGCTTTCCTTGTTACCCAACCTTGAATTTGGTTGAAGTCTCTCTAATTGTTGGCTACTACTTTGGGATTGATCATTTTGGGAGGAGTAATGTTGAAAGGACCAAGCAGATGCCATAACAGGCTGTCAGTCTTCTCCCAGAGATCAGGCCTCAATTTCAGTTTCCTGAGACTTGAGCAAGCAGTTTCTGGGAGGGCTATGACATAGTCCTTGCAGTAGCTCCCTTTCTGTAAGTACTCTGACCACTCAAGGTCCAGCCAGTTGTTTACTGTCTGGGACCCCTCACCAGCTAAGAGATACGTGCATGGGTCTATGTGAACATGTGAGACCAGACAGCCTCCATAGCATCTCAAGGACAGAACATGGCCCACTGAGGCAGTCCCCACAGTCAGTACATGCTAGGCCAGCCAACCCCCATGGCAGCTCAAGAACAAAGCCTGGGACTATTCCAGGCCTGCCCCCCCAAGATGATAACTGTAACCCCCAACCAGTAAATTCAAAGGTTACACACCCTCACCCAATCATATGATGCCAAGGCTTGTGCCACCCTGCTTGCGGTTTTTCCGTTTAAAATCCCCTCACCCTAAGAGCTCAGGGACATCCTCTTCCACCCGCTGTGTCAAGTGTTGGACATGGACCAAGCCCGGGCTTGCTTGCTATCAAAAAACCCCTGTGTGTTTTGCAGCAGATATCAGCTCTGTGGTGGTCTTGCTCAGGGGTCTCGAGGTGCAGCCACAACAATGTTGTCCTGGGTTTTCCATGTTATTTCTGCATTTGTCATGGGCTCATCTGGATTTAGTTTGTTACTTGAGTGCTTCTGTTTCCTTTGTGTTGGGGAATGTTTAGATTGATGCTTGGTGTTCAGAGTTTGGTTTACTAGGTTCATCTGTGTTCTGCTTGAGCTCAAGTGTGAAGAAATACATTGCTGTTTTGTAGGTGGGATGACTTCCTGATGCTGGATGATCTGGAAATGGTATCCCTTCTGAGCTCACCAACCAGAATACAGGAATTGAGATGAGATGTCTGCTGGGGCAGGATTCAGAATGTCCCACATCCTCTGATCTCATGAGCCAGTTTATGTGTATTACAATGGTTGTGTATGCTGGTCACGATGTGCTAACATGTATTCTGACCTCATGAGCCATGTTCCACAAAGTGCAGTGGGTATATTCACCAACATTGGATCCAGAGAGTGTAAAAGCCATGATGTTTTCACACTTTTGCCAGCCTCCTAAACTGACCTTCCTGCAACCACTGTTGCTGCTTATATGTCCCATGATTCACTATCTCAAGTCATATGATTGCACTCCTCTGTTTATACCCTCTGATTGGTACTTATCATACTGAAAA